CAGCTTATATATCCTTAGCCCCTCCCCCAGATGTAGCTAAGGTCAATTGGGTGGGAGGGGTAACTGACTTCCCCCTCAACTCCTTGATGAGCATGGGAAGGAAGTATGACTATAGCTTGCCGGCATAGTAGTCAGAGGACATGGCCAGTTAACACTCCACCCCTTCCTCCAGCTCTTACATTCTTTCTGCCAACCTCTTTTGAAAAAGTCCCTGAGCCTTGGAGGGGGTGATAGATGTGAGATGACCTTCCTCCCATTGTGGCAAGGCACTGAACTTTTGGGTCTCTGCATCATCTGTTTTCCATGGGCTGTTGGCCCATTTCAGTGGGATTTCATCTACTATAAAAACACAAACAGCAAGAAGTAAGAACATCTAAACAGTGGCTGCTATAATAACCTATGGGTGTAAACACAAATGCTTGGATGGTACTTTAGCAGGTACATCACAGCCATCTAACAAAACAATTGCAGTGGCTTCCCACTGGGGTGTATATTCCCCCCTGCCACAGGGGGTTGGCCTGGTCTACAGTACCAGATGTGTGTTCCACCCCTAGGAGCGGGCATTATATCCAATCAAAAATTTGCTAGCTGTACATACACTAGATGCTCCACTACTGTGCCAGCAGGAACAGCTTGTTTGGTATGTTGATAGTGCAACACGTGGGGTCCATTGTTGAGAATTATAGGGGATGTCTCTCCCCAATCATCTGTGTATCGCCTTTTGGCACCATTAATAACAAAACTCTTAAATATCTATGATGTGTTCATAATTTATTTGGATTTCACTGTACCTATTTTATTCTTGGGTTTATAAATAGCAACTTTTAAAATATTTTATTTATTATTGTTATTTTATGTGTATGAGTGTATTGCCTGCATGTATGTGAGTGCACCCATGTCATGCAATGCCTCGGAGGTCAGAAGAGGACTTTGGATTCCCCTGGAACTGGAGTTAAGGATGGTTCATAGCCACCATGTGGGGGCTGGGAATTGAACCCGGGTCCTCTGCAAGAGCAGTCAGTGCTCTTAACTGCTGAGCCATCTCTCCAGCCCCAACAAATAGCAACTTTTAGAAATATGGGCCAGTAAGATGGATGTCTCAGTGAGTAAAGGTGCTTGTTGCCAAGCCTGATGATCTGAATTTGGTCCCCAATACCCACACAGTGGAAGGAGAGAACCAACTCCCAAAAGTTGTTCTCTTACTGCCACACGCAAGTACATATAACACACACACACACACACACACACACACACACACAAATAAATTTAGGAAAAAAAATTATCTAACTTTATATTTATTGATAGAACAAAATTCAAGGAACCAAAGGTAACTAAATATGAAAGTACTTGTAAAACAGCGATAAAATTCACAAAGGCAAAACTACACTATTGCTGCTGTTAATTCTTCTAAGAGATATTACAAAGAGAAATCCAAAGAATATTTAATGATTAAATTTTGATCACTAAGAGGGAAAAAAATTATCTAACTTTATATTTATTGATAGAACAAAATTCAAGGAACCAAAGGTAACTAAATATGAAAGTACTTGTAAAACAGCGATAAAATTCACAAAGGCAAAACTACACTATTGCTGCTGTTAATTCTTCTAAGAGATATTACAAAGAGAAATCCAAAGAATATTTAATGATTAAATTTTGATCACTAAGAACAGTTAATTTTTGAAGATAACTTTGCCAAAGTTTCCTTGGGCAGATTGTTGTTTAGCCCAGTGTGTCTCAGACTTGACTTTACCTAAGGTATCACCTGGGGTTCTTGCTGTCAGGTTCTGGTTCAGTAGACCTGGGATAGGCCCAAGATTGCATTTCTGAGAAGCTCCCAGGAGACAGCCATGCTTTGGGTCCGTGGAGTACCACAGGCAGAAAGGAATCATGCCAACTCTGCTCTGCTTGAAACAGGGTCCCTCTATGTAGCATATTCTGGCTTCAAACTCACAATCCTCCTGTGTCACCCCTGAGTGCTATGATCACAAGTCTGGCTCTGCCTTTTAAACCTGGTTCCCAATCCTATCATGAATAGAATAGGTGTGGTCACAAGAAAACCCATATTCAATAAGTAGAGACATAAGCCCTTTTCTACAACTGTAGAACTGTCACTGAAACTATGGTTTGGATGACAAGCTTGAAAACCACACAGGTGGGCCCTGAATTAATTTCTAAACAGAAGTTTCTACCCCCTTTCTTTCAGTATTCATAGGAGACATTTTTGGTTTCTTATAATAATTTAAAACTTAATATATTTTTATCTTTAGTAGCATGAAAATGTTTCCTGTTCTACATTTTTTTCTGTTACAATATAACTCTCTTGTTATTTCAGATTTAATAATATAGAAATTAATTATATAATCATTTTCAAATCCTTTTTTCTATAGAACCCCAATGCTTTCATTAAAAAGTGGCTGGAGTTCTAGTAATTTAGTCTATGAAATGAAGTTCCCTGTATCCTAGCCAAATAAATATTTGACACATATAAAGACAGAATACAAGCCCCTGTGTAATGAGTGTGTCTTGAATTACAGTAGCACCATTGCTTCTGGGTTCGAAACAAGAAAATAGCACCATTTTATCAGTGATGGCAACAACATTTGATTTATTATCATGAGAGAGAGAGAGAGAGAGAGAGAGAGAGAGAGAGAGAGAGAGAAACGAACTGTGGAGTCTGGTCTCTCCTTCCACCTTTACATGGGAAACTAATCCAGAAATCTAAATCTAATTCAGGTAGTCAGGCTTCTTACAGGGCAATCAATCTTACCTGCTGACTCATTCTGCCAGCCCCAGCATTTTTTTTTAACACCAACCACAATCGACTTTTCAGATTGCCTCAGAGGCTGCAGGATCGTTTTGTTCAAGGAAACAGCCATCCTTGAATGGAATATTTGATAGATGCTTTGGGGAGATCTCCCCTCTTTGGAGACTGACGTTGTGAGGGGCAAAGCTGATAGTAATGAGCAAGACTACCTTCATGGGCACATGACCACTTCCCTCACACAGAGCCCCAAACCCAGAAGGCCCCCATGCTTGACCAAATGCTCTGTGGTCTCTGTCTTGAAACTCTGAACAATTTTGGAACAAATGGCCCCACATTTCCAGTTTTCATGAGGTACTACAATCTCTGTAGCTCATCCTGAGCATACAAATATGCTGTTCATCTCGTTCCCTAGAACATGCCTACAAAACTTGTCTCTGGCCAGGTGTGGTGGCACACGCCTTCAATTCCAGCACTTGGGAGGCAAAGGCAGGCAGATCTCTGTGAGTTCAAGGCCAGCCTGGCCTACATAGTTAGTTCCAGGCCAGCTGGAGCTGCAGGGAGACCCTGCCTCAAAAAGACAAAAAAACACATAATTTGTCTCTGTTCCAGCATGATTGTCTCATCCTCTCAAAAACTAAGTCAGTTGGAGTAGTTAATAATTTACCTTTTCTGACAAAAAAGACTAGACCCATATGCTAAGTGCACTTGTTATGAGCTATGGACATCATCCTCATCACAGCATTGTACCCTTCCTGTTACATACTATATTTTTTAAGGAATCTTGGGCCATTGACCATCATGGCATGCTGCCAAGGATTCTTAATCTTCTGCTGTGGGTTTAGTTGTGTTAGCTAAGTTAGTTTCCATGTGTGAAATGAGATTTGTTTTGTTAGATCTTAGTCTGATTTATGGTCCTATTGTGAAAGAATCACTAAGAATGAGAAGACAACAATGCCTTCCACCATCCAAAAGATTTGTTCCTATGCCTGCTGAGATGAATTGAATAGCACATCTCCTACCTTGCACAGGGAGGACAGAGGAGAGCAACTGTGGGTGGAGGGCTGCAGTCACCAGATCAACTAAGAGCTGAAGATTACCCAAGAGCAGAAAAAGAACACAGGCCTGTACTTTCCATTACTCAAAAGCCACTCCACTCCCGAGAAGGTGACAGGACTTCAACAAGGAATTGGTGTGTCTAGTTTCAGCAAAATTTCAGGGCCTAGCATTTCCCAAAAGGAGCACAGCCTCAGGCTTCTGGAGTCCAGTTTGGTCAACAGGCATAAAAGCAGTAGTCAACATGGACCAAAAACTGGGAATCTGTCCCAATGCTTTTCATTATATATAAAAATACTAGAGGCTGGGATGGTGAGATGGCTCAGCAGTTAAGAGCACTAGCTGCTCTTGCAGAGGACCTGGGTTCAGTTCCCAGCACTTACATGGTGGTTAACAGTGGTCTACAGTGGTCTATAACTCCAGTTCCAGGGATCCAACGTCATCTTCTGGCCTCCATGGTGACTGTGCAACACAGGAGGTAAAACACATTTGTAGGTAAAACAGTCATACATATAAAATAAAAGTAAATGAATAAAAAAAAATTAAAAATACTAGAGGCTAAGATGGAGGTGATGGTGGTACATACCCTCATCCTAGAAATTGTGAGGCTGATGCAGGAGGATCATGAATTCCAGGACTGAACTTCATAACAAGACCCTATCTCAAAAAAGGGGGAGAGGGGACAAAATTTTGACATAAATAGTAGAAAGGACAGGATTTGCTTAGGATGCCCTTTTTACACCAGGTTACCAGGGCAGGGAGGCCCTAGGTCCTATTGAAGTAGACACTTGGTTACCCCACTTAGTAAAAACTCTGTCCATCAGGTTTCCTCCTCAACAAGCTACCCCTGGAATCTTTCAGATAAGGTGGCAACTAGAAAAGTAAGCCAGCAGCTAAGGAGAAAGTCTTCCTGGGGAAATGCAGCTGGCCAGCTGGTCCGCCTTCACAGTCGGTGCTGCTGCCACCCGATCCTGGACCCCAGGGCTGGTGAGGAGACTGTGTCAGTGGAGCCGCATTCAGACACAGGAGACTAGGTTCAGTGGCGCAAATCTATTTTATTGAGGAATTTACAAGCTTATATAGGGTTCTTGGACCAATCAGACAAGGATGCAATGACTATGCCACATATGGGCAGCCCTGGTTCTGGAAAATCATGTGTCCATGGCTGTTGTTATGCCCATGTGCTGCAAGCTGTAGATAAACTGAAACCTGGAATTTCAAGGGGTGGCAACTAGGGAGTGGTGAGCCTTAAGCGTCAGCCCTACAACTTGCCAAATGGAGCAATAATCACAAGGCATTCCTCATGGCTCCAGCGTCAGGCCATTGCCTCAGGCTTGCTGTATGGCTGTCATTAGGACTTCCACTCTAGGCTCAAGCCCGTCTCCCACAGGGAAAAGTCTGAAATGGGCAGTATTCTCCAACTATAAACTGATCTGCTTTAGGTTCTTATGGTCCCTCATAAAATAGGAATCTGTAGCACTTTTCCTGTACAAAATTCCTGCCCACAAGACTTCACAGTACTTTTGTCTAATTCCAGAGTTGCCCCCCTTCCAACTCTGAAAACATACAATCAACAAGGGCTCATCTCTAAAAAATGAAAAACAATCCATAGTTATAGTGCCAGTCTTGGAAGCAATATGAATTGGTCTTTGCATTTGTTTCTGTTGAAATTTCTTTGGGAAATTTTACTCCCAAAAGAAAAATGTTGGGAGCTTGTACTGCAACTCAGAGCACAAGCATTAAGGAGAGTCTTTGTTAAGATCTATCAATTTAAGAGGAAGTAGCCTTCCTGAATTATCAGAGCAATAATAGTTGCAGAAAATGTCCCCCAGGTAGGTGGGACAAAATAGACTTCATAGAGAGGCCGTTTGGGGTGGCCATCATAGACAGGTGCAAAAACTCCAATGGCTGCATATTTCAGGCGTCAATCACAGACCAGTGTGATGTAGGAGGTAATACCTTTACTTTTCCTTATTTATTTTTTTGTTTTGTTGTTATTATTTTGTTATTTATTTGTTGTTGTTTTGTCTTTTGTGTTTGTTTCACTCTTACTGAATGTGTACATGCTTTTCTGCTGTTAAGGGTTCTTAGAAGTATGGTGTGGTCTACCTTGACAGGAATGGTTTGAAGGAAGTACCTGAGCAATGCTCTCAAGCACATATGAGGACCTTCCTGCTCCCCAGAATTTCAGGTGACTGGTGTTCCAAGTCCTCTCCTCAATAAAATAAGAGTTCCTTCCACATATCCAAATAGTGGGACCCTGCTCCTGAAGGTTTTCTGAGAAGTCCCCTTCACTCTTCCACCTGCCTGATGAACACTGTCCAAATGGTCCTGGATCTCAAGGTTATAATCAGCTCTCACCTTTGTCCTCGGACAGTGGGTGCATTTATCCAGACTCAGCATACACTTATCTTGGGCAACATAATGTGGTTGGAATGAGGTTATAAGCATTCAGTTACTCAGCAACAATCAGCTGTGCATTGGCTTTCTCCACTGTCTTGTTGCCCAATGCATTTCTGATACGAGCCCAGAACAATGGCCTCTCATGAGCACTGTCTGGCCAGGTGATAAATGTCTGTCTATTCACAAGTTTCCTGAGTCGATGGTAGCTGGATAGTTTATAGTTTGGGATCTCTTCCAAGAAGATCAAGATAATGACATCCTCATGCTCATAGAACATCTTCAGGCTGGCCAACTGTACTTCAAGTCGGCACCATTCGCTGTTCAGGTAGTGGTTACTGACTATACACAACGTTTTCCGGCTTGTATTGATGGCATTCTGGATGTTCTCAAAGATGTCAATGCCTGGTTCAAAGTCCCGGTGGTGAAGACAGAGCTTAAAGGTGGGCTTGCTGCCATCTTCTAGGGCTGGAACAAGCTCTTTATATACCCACTTTTCATCAGTGGCAGTGAAAGAGACAAAGGCATCATATATGAACTCCTTCTCTGTTCTGTGCCATTTAGCTAGGTACCAGGCTCTAAATATGTACATCCAATACCACAAAGAAGAAATCATCTTGGAAGCAAAGAATACCATGGTTGTGAGGACCAGAGTGAAAGAACAGAAGAAGCAGACCTTTGCCAAATCAAAAGTACACATGGCATCATCAAAATCTATCAACAAACTGTGGCTGTCTGGCTGCTGACAGGGGAAGCTCCGGAGAAAGGGGATATGGACATCTGCTGTGTTCATAGACCAATTCTTGAACCACATATTGTCACAGTTACACTGAAGTTTGTTCCTATAGATATCAAAGAACATCAAAGATGTCAGATTCTCCAGATGGCTTTGATTAATAACCTTCAGGTTGTTGAATCTTAAAGAGAAGACCTGAAGACTCTCCAAGCCAGAGAACATGCCAGGAACCAACAACTCTAAGTGGTTGTTTTCAAGGCAAAGTATTTTGAGTCTTTTGAATAAGGAAGCATTTAAGTAGAGACTTCGGTCCCCAGACTTTGTTCCTGAGGTATCCAACTTTGTGAGATTAATCAGAGGATCAAATTGGAGGTGATCCAGGAATACCATGGGATTTTTTCCTAAGAGTAGCTGTTGCAAGCTACTTAACCCTTGGAAAAAGTTGGTTGGAACAACCTGAATCCCATGTTTTTGTCCTTCTAGGTTGAGTTGTTTCAAAGACTTGAGATTATTAAATGGAGGCATGTGAAGGGTCCTAGTGGTTTCATATGTAATCTTATTAAAACCAAGATTCAAAATTTCCAGATTTTCAAGGCCCCAGAAAAGACGTGCATGAAAATCTGACAAGCTATTGTATGCCAAGTCAAGGTGACATAGGCAAGTGAGGCCAGAAAATGTACTCTCCTCCATAACTTGCAGCTGGTTCTGTGAGAGAATCAAAACCCGAAGCTTTTTCAGAGATTCAAAGGTCCCACGCTTGAGCATCCGGATGTTGTTGTTTCTAAGATCTAAGTGCTCTAAATTTGGAAATTGAGCAAAGAAATATCTGTCAATTGTTACTATCCAGCACCCATCTAAGTTGAGTTCCTTCAGCGAAAACAGACCACTGAAGGTCAGATTATTGAGTTCTGTGATGGGGTTTCTAGAGAGAAAGAGAGATTGCAAGCCCTTCAAGGGTGAAAATGCAAAATCTGGAAAACTTTTGAAGTTGTTGTGGCTCAGATCTAGGATGGTCAAGTTCTGGAGGGAACCCCAGGTCCTATTGCTGACAATAGAAAGGTGGCACTTGTTCAAATTCAGTCTTTGGAGGCTAGGCAGAGCATCAAACTCACTGTCATTAAGGCGAACCAAGTCACTGCTTTGGCCCAGGTCAAGGAACAAAAGTCTGGTACACTTGGCAAGATGTTTAATGCCCTCTGCATTGGTGGCATTTTTCTGAAAAATCAGTGCCTCTAACATGGGTAGTTTTCTGAGGAAGTGACACACAGTTTTCATGTTCAAGTGACCATATCTAAGCATCCGGTTACTGAGATCCACAACTCTTAGTTTCTGTAGGTGTTTGACTGGAAGCATCTCCAATTTCACCAGTGTCCCACTCAGATTCAAGCTCCTGAGTTGGGGCAGAGTTTCCAGATACACATCCTGAATGACTTGATAGCTGTTCTGAGAAGCATCTAGAGTGGTCAGGTTGGGCAGCAAGAAAGAAGAAAAGTTTAACTCTGTTAGTTTGTTCCCCTGTAGGCTCAGATTGGTCAGGGAGACCAGTGACCTGGGACTGTGGTCCAAGTAGATGATGCTGTTGTTAGTAAGATCAAGGTATTCCAAACATGGAAGATGCTGAACTGCTTCAAGAACGACAGAAAAATTGGTAATGAAGTTTCGAGATAGGCTCAAATGTTTCAGTTTAACAAGAGGAACAAAGGCTCTTTTGTCAATATGAGTGATCTTATTGTGGCTCAGGAGTAAGGTCTCCAAGTTAGACAGGCCCTCAAATGAGTTGTTCACACTTTGAATCCTATTTTCTACTAAATTCAGAAGGGTCAAGTTTTCAAGTCCTCTGAAGGCATCTTCATCAATCTTCCAAATGAAATTCCACTCTAGTCGCAAGTCCACCAGAGCAGACAGCTTAGTGAAACTATAAGGAGGAAGGACTTGAATTTGGTTCTGCGTCAGGTTGAGGTGAGTAGTATATCTAGGTATGTCACCAATGGCATCTGTCAAATTCGTAATCTTTTTCCAAATGCAGAATACATGGTGAATATCAAATTCATACTGTGTGCATTTACTGAACCCATATGTCTCTGCCAATGGCAGCAGAGAAAGCCCTACTACAATAAGCATGAGTTGTGGAGAAAGCAGGAGACTGTTCCTACTCATCTTAACAGCCCCAGGCATCCAAGTTACAACAGGAAAAAAAATTCCTTCACATTTTCGATGCTCACATTTGAAGGAAAGGTCTTTGCATATTGATTTTGCTGCAAAGAAAAGCAGAAGATAGTAGTTTAAATTTCTCTCTCCTAATAAATAGTTTATAGTTGCTTCAAGGAAACTAAAATGCTCAGTCCCAACATGCACTTCTAAAACCTGTGTCCAAAGCACTCTCTGTATCAATAAAGGCTGCTACTCTTTCTTCTGTAACCAAAATTGTCAGCAAACAGAGCCAAAGAAGGCAATTCTGAGCTTCATTTAATTTAGGTATGTGGGAATAACATTTTTGGACAAATGGCTTTTATTTAACCTTGTAATAAAAAATTTTAGATTGTTTATAATGTAAATAAGTCTACTAGGCCTTGAGCTCCTCTTTTAACCTAAAACATATAGCTTTAATCTCTCATGACCCTTCCTTGCCCTTGATCCAGAATAATGTATGCACGCACATGCATGCGCGCGTGCGTGAACGTGTGTGTGCGTGCATGCATATGTGCATTTTACAGATCAAGTATTGTCAACAACAGATATTTCTTGGAAGCAAAAAGATTATCCCATTTGTGTAGCAAACAACAGATGATATTAAACTAGTAACATCTGTTTGGGTTTGTATGTGCTGATCTAGGTCAGTAGGGATCAGAAAGGGAAAATTCCTTGATAAAAATCAATCCTTCCACCTTTTACTTCCCCATTTCATGCTGAATATAGTGCTTCAATAAAGGAAAGGGCAAGCCCTAGTTCCAGAGCACAGTTTGGAGTGCAATTTGTTTTTTGGGTTTTTTTGTTTGTTTGTTTGTTTTTCAAACAAGGTCTCCCTGTAGTCACAGCTGGCCTGGAACTGGCCATGTAGAACAGGCTGGCCTTGAATTCACAGAGATCCACATGCCTCTGCTTCCTGAGTGCTGGGATTAAAGGCATGCACCACCATGCCCAGCCCAAATGTAATTTGAGTGAAAAGATGCTCAGAGTAGTTCAGATCTCCTCTTGGCTAAAATGGATGCTAAGAGTCACACTGTCTTTGTGCAAGCATTGCTGTATGTGGCATTGCATATTAAATGATGCATGGGTTGACTCTGAAATTCCTCCAATCCTCCTCTCACACCCATACAATAAAACATCTGCCACTCTGTGCTGATGCCTGAAAATGCCCATCACCAATGATGCATGGTGGGGGCAGGGTTTCCAGGCTCGTTAGAAGACAGTCATCCATGATGCAGGTCACATCTACCTTGACATGAATGAGTGCAGAAGGCCTTGATTTGGCCAATCATTTGACCACAATATAGCTGCAATTAACTGAGACCTCTATTTGCTTTCTGATAAATGTGGCCTAAAGTTTCTTCAACCTTGCCTCTCAGTTTCCCCCCTGTTCCTGCAGTCACTGATGACCTAGTGAAAAAGCCACCAGCTCAGAGAGACCTGGCCAAGCTCCAGTCTTATATCCTTTAATAAATTCATTAATATCTCTGCATCTGTTTTCTTAGTCATTCTGTGGAGTCATGTTCCTTCCTAATAACCAGCTCATGCCTGATCCACAATGAACCTCAGGGAAAACTTACTTGTCTTCTCTTTGACTCTAGGCAGGCTATCTTTGTGGGAATTTTTTGGCCTTGTCTCAAGAGCCATTTCTCTATGGATACTTTGTCTCAAGTATCCATAGAGAAATGAGGAAAAAATAATATAGCTGAATTGGTTTTCTATTTTATTTTATTTTTGGCCTTTTTGAGACAGGGTCTCTCTGTAGTCCCAGCTGGCCTAGAACTCACTATGTAGGCCAGGCTGACCTGGAACTCACAGAGGTCTACCTGCCTCTGCCTCCCAAGTGCTGGGACTAAAGGTATGTGCCACCAACCACACCCAGCTTTTTACTTTCTTTTCTATAGAACTACATATGGGCACAAAGGTACATTATATATTTGCTAACACTGACTAGCTTTAGAAACCAGGAAATAAATATCCATTACAGAAGTTGGTCATGTTTATGTGTGTATGTATGTGCATGAGGAAAGAGACAGAGAGAGATAATAAACTGGTCCTGACCCAAAAAAATGGAAATTTCTTGGGGGCTAGAAAGACAGCTCAGCAGTTAAGAGCACTGGTTGTTCTTGCAGAGAACCTGAGTTCAGTTCCCAGCACCCACATGATGTCTAACACTTGTCCTTAACCCCAGTTCCAAGGTATCCAACACCTTCTTCTGGCCTCAGAAGGCGTTTCATGCATGTGGTTCACTTATATGCATGTAGGCAAAATATTCATACACATAAAATAAATAGGACTGGAGAGATGGCTCAGTGATTAAGAACACTGGTTGTGCCAGGCATGGTGGTGCACGCCTGTAGTCCCAGCACTTTGGAGGCAGAAGCAGGTGGATCTCTGTGAGTTCAAGGCCAGCCTGGTCTACATAGTGAGTTCCAGGACAGCTGGGGCTACAGGGAGACCCTGTCTCAAAAAGACCAAAAAAAAAAAAAAAGCCCACTGGTTGTTCTTGCAGAAGACCTCCGTTCGAATCCAGGCACCCACATGGCAACTAACAACTGTCTGTAACTCCAATCCCAGGAGATTCAACAGCCTCTTCTGACCTCCTCGGGCATTACACGACAGGGGCGCACTTACCTACATGCAGGGCATACACGCATACACATAAAATAAAAATAATAAATAAAATTTAAATAAATAAATAAATGGAAATTCCTTAGGCACGAAACTTTATGATCAGGACAGCATTATACTACATAGAATCACAAAATGTGATTTTGAAAAGCTTTTATGAGTAATATGAACCATTTCTTGAAACAAGTCACCACAAGACTCTCAAGTTTAGTACACAAGAAAGCCATCTTGTTTTATCAGTAACTAGGTATGATCACTTTAATAACTTTTATGATTCTAATAAATATTAAAATATTTCATTGTCGCTGGGTTTGGTGGCACATGCCTTTAGTCTCAGCATTTGGGAGGCAGAGGCAGGCAGATCTTTGTAAGTTCAAGTCCAACCTGGTCTACATAGTGAGCTCCAGTCCAGCTGGGGCTACAAGAAGACCCTGTCTCAAAAAATAAAAGTAAAATATTTCATTGTCCCTTACTGCTAATGAGATGTCACTCAAATATCTCAGTACTTTTCTTCTTTTTCCCCTTTTCTCTCCAGTCTCCCCTTACTCTTCTGCCATGTGATTGGACAGTGTGTTAAAAGTTTTAAACTACACTGTCAGAGACTTCTTTTCCAAATGTTCCTCAGATTTATACTCACACTTTATATTCATACCCATGATGCACAGAATGAAAAAGCAATATCCTAATGGTTGTGTCCATTGTGATTTTATATTCACCTGAGGTAGGCAAGCACAGAATATCTTAGCTATCTGGAACGCCACTTAGCTTTGCCTATGCACACACTCCTTGCTAACAATGCACCTAGCAACCTAGGACCCCCACTTTCATCAAACCCCACATACTTAAATAACAGAAATAAATTACTCTCCTCTGCAGCCCTGACATGTCTAAAGTCAGATGCATTATGGGAAATGATATGTACAGTGAACAACAGCTTACATAATCCAAAATTGTCAACCAAAACAGAGAAGTATCCATGATAAACTTTATAGTGACCTAACTCCTCCTCTTCCTAGACACTATGAAGTAAGACCCCAGAAAATAAGCAGGTGTCCTTGAGTACTCTAACTCAAGCCACTCACTGCTCATTTGCTGCGTGTCTGATCTGTACTATCACGTTGCTTTTGAATAAAGTTTCCTTTCTACTTTGCAATCTGTGCACTTTTCAAATTCTTCAAATAAGATTCCAAGAATCTGAAAACCCCTGATTCAGATAGGTGGGCTCTATGAGATGACTGAATCAACTCAGTGCCTAGGGAGCTGATGTTTAAGGCATTGTTGTTGCTGACTGAAGGTGTCATTCTGGAGCCCAGGCCATACTGAATGAAACTCACTATGTACCCTAGGCCATCTCTTAATGATCCTACTGCCTCATCCTCCTGAGTGATGGAATTAAAGGTGTGGGCTACCATATCCAATTTACAAAGCATTTTTGTCTTTTAAGTCAACAAGAAGGAAATAGTACAAAAGAGGATGGATCCTCTATTAAAGTAAATACAAAAAAAGAAGGAATGGGGCTGCAGGTCAATATTAGAGCACTTGCCTAGTATGCACAAGGCCCAAAGTTTGATTCCCAAGACTCCCCAAACCAAAAAGAACTTGAATTCTGCTGGGCATGGTAGTCCATACATGTAATCCCAACGCTCCTGAGTCAGAGGCGGGATAATCACTTGAGGAATCTGAGATCTGCTGGGGCAACATGGCAAGACCCCATCTCCAAAAGAAAGAGAAAAGAAAGAGAAGGGGAAAGGAAGAAAGGGGAATGGAGGAGAGGGAGGAAGTGGAAAGAAGAAGCAGAAAAGAAGAGGCAGTAGTAAACACATCTTGCAGAAATGTGGGTGGAGCAAGGTGGTATTGCCAGATAGTGGTGGTTTCAATGACAAATGTTCCCCAAAGGCTCAGATAGTTGAACAATTGGTCCCCAGTTAGTGGCACTGTTTGAGAGGTCATGAAAACATTAGGAGTTGCAACCTTGCAGGATGAAGTGTGTCCCTGGAGATAGGCCTTGAGGGTTTGCAACCTCCCCCACTTCCAGTTCACTCTCTCCCTGTTCTGTGATCTTTCAGCTTCCTGCTCCTGCCAAGGTCCCTGCCACACATCCCCGCCATTATAGACACCCCCTCTGCAACTGAAAGCCAAAATATTCTCCTGTAAGTTGCTTTTGGTCATGGTATTTTATCATAGCAACAGAAATGTAACTAATGCACAGATTAATGTGTTCTTTGATCTCAGAGATGATAACGGACATTGATATAACCCCTAAAACACATCTGAGAATGTCACAGAACATTTTAAATAAAGGACACTAGCCATCAAGTAAGAGTAAACAGAAAGTCATCTAAGCATGCAAATGTCCTGCCCTACAAGGGGCAGAAAGGGGAGCGACATTGGTGAGGCTGCCATGGAGCAGGGCTGCTGGAGGAGAAAAGGAATAGACAGAGTCAGTGCCAGAGCAGAATGCTGAGGCCCAAAAGCAACACAGAGAGTGTTCTGAAAAGTGGGGAAAATGAAGGCCTTCCAACCCAGGTGTGGACCTGGCTTCAGAAGGTCATGTGAGATCTGAGAGCACTGGAGAGGAGCGGGGAGCATGCTGGGTTTTTATTACATTTTATTTATTTATTTATTTATTTAATTTAGTGTGTGTGTGAGTGTGTATGTGTGTGTGTGTGTATGTGTGTGTGTATGCATGTATACATGTGTGCACATGCCTGTGGATGACAGAAGTCAAGTGTGTGTAGGCATGTACACAGGTTGAAGACACCCTGGGAATCAAATCTCTCCTTCTACCATATAGGTTCCAGGGATCAAAATTAAGTTATGGGGCTGAAGAAATGGCTCAGTGGTTAAGAGCACTGACTGCTCTTACAGAGAACTGAGGTTCAGTTCCCAGCACTCACATGGCAACTAACTCCAATAAATCCAGGAACTCTATAACTCCAGTTCTTGGGGATCTAATACTGTCTTCTAGTCTCTGTGAACATTGTACACACAGGTATGTTTATATATATGCAGGCAGAACACTCATACACATAAAAAAATGAAAATGAATAAATAAATAAAAATTAAGTTGTCAGGCTTGGTGGCAAATACATTTTTTCAATGAACCTTCTCACTGACCCTTGCAGCTGGATGTTATATTGATAGAACTATAAATCAAAGCCCCCCAGATTAAAGTAAAACTAAGTTTCCCAAGCTATATTCTGGGAAACTGTACAAGGAAGCAAAAGAAAAATAATTCTAACTATAGAAAAGAAAAGATGACCTGACCTTTTCATGCTCCTTTGATCAAGCTGGAAAAATACCTGAAAAATCCCCCCTCCCATTTCTGCTGTAACCATGTAACCAAGCTCCTATTGTGACCTAAATACCAGCCCCTTACTTCTTGTGGTTTGTGGTTTCTGTCTATATAACC